ACATCTAACCAGACAAAGAGCTAAGTTAGGAGATAAAGATTTTGAGCAACGAGTTATGGAGTGGTATTTGGAGAACGACGATGAACCTGATGAGTACGAGGAGGTCGACGACTTTTATATAGATTCGGACTATGTACAAAGTGATGAAGAGCAGCAGGTCTCACAACAAAAACAAGAAATACGTAAAGAAAGTAATAGTAATGTTGAAGAAGATGACCTTGAAGCTGAGCAACAATTTATCGGTAAAAGCGCCAATTAATATGACGAAGAAAATTGCGGAGAACCGCAGTTTCTTATTGGCAGAAAAGACAAGAAGGAATCTTCTTCTTTAAGTTCCATCTTCTATCGAAGGTTGGAAATCATCATGGCTATGCGGACTCTGTTGACTGCCGCTCTAAAAAGTTCTGCACTACTGCATTCAAACCATTCCCTTAAGTTCTTAAGCCAGGATATTCTTCATCTTCCCACATTTCGCTTTCCTCGGATTTTGCCCTGCATAATAAGTTGTAATAATGCGTATTTTTGCCCTCTCATCACATGTCCCAAGTACTCAAGTTTTCGTCTTTTAATAGTTAATATTATTTTCCGCCTCATTTCCTATCCTTCTAGTTACTTCCATGTTTGACATTCTTTGAATCCATGATATTCGTAGGATTCTTCTGTAACACCAAAATTCAAAGGCGGCCAACTTATTCAGATGAACTAGTTTTAGTGTCCAAGCTTCAAAACCATAAAGAAGAGTAGAGAACACGTAACATCGAAGCATTCTCAGGCGTAGTTCTAACCTTATATCCCGACAACAAAGAAACTTTTTAACTTTAATAAATGATGTACGTGCTATTTCAGTACGTGTCTTAATTTCTTTGGTTTGGTCTACATCTGATGTTATCCATGTTCCTAAGTATTTATAGTTATTAACACTCTCAATTGCAGTATCTTCAATAGTCAATTGGATATTTGCACGTGCAGATATAGTCATGATCATGCATTTAGTTTTCTTTAAATTTATCTTCAGTCCGTACTCATGACAGCGTTCATTAAGGCGTTGCATTACGTTCTGTAAATCATTGTTGTTATCTGTAATTATACAAGAAGGAATATAAATGATTAAAAAGTGTATCGTCGTCTGTTCAAAAAACGCCAAAACACATAACCTTATTCGCTTATCTCCCGGACTTACCAGAAAATCTACCCAAATAGTGAACCCTGGCAAAATAGAAATTTGGAAATGCTTAGTTGATGAACCAATGATTGATAAAATTGTACAATGCACAAATGCTAAATTGATTTTAAGTAGAAGTCAAATTGTAGAGATACTGATATTGTGGAAATACACGCATTTATCGGTTTGCTTATGCTCACTTCAGTTTTCAAATCTGGCCATGAAAATATGAATTAACTATTTGCAAAGGGTCTAACTGGAAGACGTATTTTTACATCAACCATGTCCGTTAAGCGCTTTGAAATATTAGTGAGTGCTCTTAGGTGTGATGATGTCAAAACTCGTGGGGAGTTGCCCAATTCTGCCCAATTTCCTGCTCTCTTGTCTCTGCCTCTTTTCATAAATTCGTTGTCGTCTTCCTCGCGTTTGTCGTCGTAAGGAAATCATTCTTGTTCCGAGGCATAATCTTGTTTTTATGAGCTGTATGGGCTTACAGTAGGGTGCTAACCTGGCTGTAGACTCCATTCTCCTTTATCCGGGCTTGGGATCGGCAACATTTCTGGTGATCTACTCGATTCACCCAACAAAACTGCGAAGTGGTCATACAAAATTATTTCTATTTGACTAATGTCTATGTTGATCTGTTTCAATCGTGCCACGCGCAATAGCTATTGTTTTATTACAAAAACCAAGACGAAGTCGATCGGCGCATTGTTATTTAGTTAGCCTAATCTTAAAATCGTATAAAATCCTCTACGAAAATGTCCATTAGATTTCAATTTTTTCACGAAATTGATTGTTTTGCAAATTTGAATATTCAATCTATTAATGTTGTTTACCATAAGAAATGTCAAAATTTACGAAAATCATACTTACGAAGTGGAGTAACTTCCGCTAGATGGCTCTAGGCAAAACTTTTAGTGTTGTCTCGTATTATTAACTTAATACAGGGGAACTTAATACTATAATATAGGGGAATACAGTTTATCAGATTTTTTCATTTCAGATCAAAATAATTTTTAAAACTTGTTCACGTAAGAAGATATAAGATCCTAACCAAATTTTCTTTGGCTGCAACAAATATTTAGAAAAATCTAATAAATTAATTCACACATTTATTGAAATAAAATATCTGCTTCCGTTAAGTCGTATCACACATTTTGTCATCTGCTAATAGAAAAACCTTAGAATTGCTAATAAATTTTATTAAAGATGTAAAAGTAGAAATATAAATTAGTACGTCAACATTAGTGACTACATATATCTAAAAAATAAAAACAAACAACTACAAAAAATATCTTTAAACATAAATAAAACATTTGTGGCTGATGGACTTGTTTCCGTGCCATAATTACACACACACGTAAGAAGATATGAAATATCTAAATTTAAATATACATATAAAATACAGAAATATTTTATAAATATGTTTGAAATAAAAATATTGTCCTGATAATCTTGAATTTTATTATATCATGCATATTTTAGAGACATATCGCTAATCAATCATCTGAGCCGAATGCATGTCTATATTCGCCAATTAATATAAATGTACAATTCTATTTCTGTTGTATTCAGACCTTTTGCAGTGAGAGGAAAGCAAATAGAGAAAAATTGGGTGAATTGCATTGTAAATATTTATCCAAACTGCTAATACAAATAATGTATTTCGGTTTAGTACATTTTTAACCCTACAATTGCAGTTTTTTTAATTTAACTCTCAATCATTCCATTGAGTTCATTCGTGTGTGGGTAGGAAAGTAATTTCTTAATCCTATTTGCTAAATAGAACCTGTATGGTATTTTCTAAGTTTATGCTACCTATATTTTAGCATTTCTGTTTTGATTGTCTCCTGGACAGTTATTATTTTTCATGCGATTTAGAACTACTCTTATCTCAATCTTTGGGAAGTCTTCATAATCATCTTTATTCTTCAGTTTCCGATATTACACCTCGGAATTGGAAAGCGCAGTAATCTCAGCACAAATATCACTAGCTTATTCTGAAAATTTGCTCATTGAGCATGGTGAAGATGTGCATATGTCTATGTGTATTTTGTGTGAGTGTATATGTGCCAACTTCAATCAACAAACCTACAGTTATTATCAAATTAGGTTTTCAGTTGATCCACGAACGTTTATTTGTTTATAACTTACTGATACCTATCCTATATATCCATAATACGTTCCCTATTAGCGATAAGAACGCGATAAGAACTTTTCCACCCAGTCTGTCATGCACGGAATTATTTTGGGGAGCTCCTACTTAGTTCAGATCTTCTCCCTTAATTCAAATCTGCAGAAAACCTGAACAGTTTCAAGACATTCAATAAATGATTCTTGACTGAAACTGTCTATGATTGGAAGCGTCAAGGTGGAAGACTAACCTGAAAAGACTTAAGTGTATGTTAACTAAAAGTTAATCCTAAATATTTAGTATCTAGTATAATAGCCAAGTAGATAAAGGTAATGATCTGCAATAAAGGCAATAGAGACGTAAAGTCCGTTCTTCTATCTTCAGAGACAAACGGATATATGTATTTCCAATTTTATGCTTCAATATTAAGATATATTATCGCACTCTTAGTATTAAAAGGGCACATCTCGAAAATCGTTACTTCTGGGAAAACGAGATTAAAGATTGAGCTTCGTTGTTTTCATTTACTCACCTATAACATTTTTATTTGAAAAGATAGATAAAGATAGACAATTTACAGTATTTGTACTCTATAATGGATAATCGAAATATTACAAAAAAAATTAATTTAATTAAAAAAAAACCTTTCAAAAAATCTATCCCAAAATAGGCCCCTCTTCCACTAAATGTCTTTAAATTTTGAAGGCATCTTACGAATTAAGCCTTTTAATGATTAAAGATACACTATGTTTTTAAGTAACAAATCTAAATATGGCTGTGTAATAATAATGTTTAACTACTTTCAATAATAAAAGTGCCTCTTGTAAAGGAATTAATAAAACATTAAATCGTAAAAGATTAACAAAAAATAACTTTATTCTCAAAAACCTTAAAAAGTAATAGGCATGTAGCATACAAATCCAATATCAAAATTTTTTTGCAATGTATCTGTAAGAGGTTAAGATGTAGTTACCATTTTATTTAATACTTGTTAGTACATAAAATAATAATAATAATTAAGGCCTAAGTACCGAAAAACTTTGTAGTTTATGGACACAACTAAGAAACTCATTGAATTATTTTAGTATTACAAGGATTTAACTTTCAATGATATTGTAAATCAAACAGATTTTTTGTAATAACAAGAATCCTTTAGATATAGTTCCAAATAATTTTAGTAATATAAAGAACTTTTTTAAATAAACCCATAAATTTTCGGAAGTTTTAGTAATATACAGCATTTAATCTTAATGTGCCTTTATAAAACAAAAAATATAAAACAACACGTACCTCAAGTTTTGTAATAGAAGGGCTCAACTCGTAATGGGAGCGCTCACTAACACACCTGCTTCGACAGACATCGGCACCTTACTGAATGGTCTATATCGCGGCAAGATGTGTTGGCGGAGAGGGTAGTACGAAAGGGTCACATTATATCGGGACTTGCTTTATATTCTCTGTTTTCAATTTCTGTGCAGGCAAGTTGTAGTACTAGTAGTTTTGTGCCCATTTATGCCAAAAACTCAAAAACCCTAATTTTCGAGATGTGCCCTTTTAATACTAAGGGTACGGTATGAATTTAGGTACTATTACCAATATCATTATAATTGCTAAATATTAGTCATCAAAATATGCTAACTATTAATTTTTGGTTTCAGATGATATTTGCTCAAACATCACTCTAAGTAACTTAGTATTATAATGGATCGTAGCAATCAAATCGTTCAGCATGGTGTTCCAGTATCTAGTCTCGACGCCGCTCACGCGAACGAATATTTCGAACAGTTCGTCAATGCATCCAGTGTGAAAAACATCCTTGGATATTATCGAGGTTTAATCGACAGCCTTCATCTTAGGCCGAACGTCTTCAATTTGTTTTATCCGAAACTAAGAGCCAACTTGACTTCATGGCGAGCCAAAGCTCTCCTCAAGAAGTTCGATGCGAGGGCGTCACACAAATGCTACCAGAAAGGGAAGGCGGCAGCGAATACGAGAGTTCTTGTGATAGGAGGAGGTCCTTGCGGTATGAGGACAGCTATAGAGGCGCAGTTGTTAGGAGCTAAAGTGGTACGTATAGTAGTTTTCTTTTTACAAACTTTTCTATTTTTTTTTTGAAAGCATAGCTTTGGACGTAATGCATTGATCGATGGGTTGATTGATGTAGTTGTGATATTGACTTGTACGTCTACGTGTCTAAATCCTCTTTCATTTAATTATCCTATGACTGATTCTTGGTCAAACGTTTTTTCTAAATCTAGAAACCTCGAAAACCTTTTTTGGATGGTGCTAGAAAGGTCACCAATGGAGACACTGCGAACGGCAGCTAGATGGTTGCTGGAAGAAAGAAAAAGAGCGCCACCTAACTTTTTGGGGTTACAAGGGGAAAATTTCGAAACCTTAGAAACGAAAAGAGATAAGAAGTCATAATTAGGTTCTGAGAGCAAATACACGAAAAATATTAACAGATAATTATAAAATAAATGTGGTCAACATACTACATAGAAAGATAATAAATAATATGTTCGGTGGAATTCGTCCACCTACTTACCTACAAACATATATAGCCTGATCGTTCTTCTGGTCGAAGATATCGTGATAGTTAAATATTTTTATTAGCAAATATTCAGAGATATCCTATCATCAGGAAACTTATTAGGAGTAGATAAATAAAATTCAGTAGGTAAACAAAACAAAATGTATTCAATAACTGAATCACCAGACGGGTGAATTCCAAATTCGGTATTCAGCTGCATTCGGCAGAATACCGAATACATATTTGAAAACTTAATTCCGAATAATAGCCAAAATTTTCGTGTCACCACTAATCTGTATTATTTTCACATAATACGAATTTAAATCCTTATTTTTCAAATAAATTGTTGTTTCAGGTTGTTGTTGAGAAGAGGGATAGATATTCTAGAAATAACGTTTTACATTTATGGCCTTTTGTGATAGAAGATTTGAGGATGCTGGGCGCAAAGAAGTTTTTTGGTAAATTTTGCGCCGGCGCCATCGATCACATCAGTATCAGGCAGTTGCAATGTATCTTATTGAAGGTAGCTCTTCTTCTTGGAGTTGAAGTTCACACAGAAGTCAGTTTCGAAACTCTTATAGAGCCCGATGCTAATGAAAGTAAGTGCGGAATTCATGTCTTATATTTGTATTAACTTACTTAAATAGTGAAACTTTTAAAATTATTTAATTTATTATTTAATAATTTAATTTAAAATGTTTAATTAAAATAAAAATACTGAAACATTATAATGCACAACACCTGCTGGAACTCTTATATAATAGCCTGCATTCGCCTGGGTATTTTTTTTTGTCAATTGCTGGATGTATGTATACCCGAAGAATGTTTTCCCATTCTAAAACTGCAACACGCATCAATTCTTACGTGATCATTAAGCCAGATGCATTTTTTTTTCCAAAAATTTATAGTGCTTCAATTGAATTTAAATCTGGACTTCGTGGTGGCTGTAAGATTCGAATAACAATCTGATCTAAGTTCTAACATAGTTCTGCTATGCGAGCCTTGAATTATCTTGTATAAAAAGGAACGTATTTTCCGTAAATGGCACTAACGCAATAACAGGTAGTGGTATACATATAATGTTTTCCGGTTATATCTGCATTCGTGCACCGCAAATGAATTGGAACTAGTTCTGTGGGTTCACCAAAACAAATTTCTGTTTAGAACTGTGACGATAATATATTTTATCGTCTAGAGTACGCCTATGCCGGTTCACCCCTCGTATTTGTGTCGGTATTTTTCGAACGTAAGTGAATGACTGTTCTTGACCGCAGTTCGTCCAATTTTCCTATTACGTCTAAATTAAATTTAGTCATTACATTTTGTAATTCCTCTTTCTTTAATTTATATACCCATCCTACCGTCTCGTTCGCTATTTCTAACCCTACCGTATCCTCCAAGTCCGACATAAATTATATATTTGTTCAAGTCTTATAAATGCCTTAATTATTATTATTTATTTAAAAAAAATTACTGCTCGGGCGCCATTTGTGAGGCCGGGTAGTGTAATTCAGCCAGAGAAACAGACAGGATTCGTTCGTATAGGCATTTATTTCGAATTAACATATACGAATGAAAAAGTAATTATCGTTAAGTGTCTACTGAATATAATGCTTGAATACAAAAACGTACTGTTTATTTATTTCGGTAGACGGGTGTGACGATATTCGATATGGTAAACTAAGATACGGCGATTGAGGAATTGAGGTCGTACTCGTTCCTCAACGCAAATCGAGTACTTGGACAGGGATAAGGATGTCTATCTAGTTCAACACACCAGATAGAAAGAATGCGCCAATCTCGTTCAACGCACCAGATTGACGCAGCCAGAGGAAGGATTGTCAATCTCGCTCAACGCGCCAGATCGACTGGGTTCGGAACGATTTCGGACACGTTCAACTCACCTGTCCCCAAGGTCAGATATTCTCAACTCAACGCGTCGAGAATCGTTAGCTGTCTTTCAGTTTCGACTTTTATACTATTCGAGACGGAACAAAAACATGTTTTATTTAACACATAGGCATACTCTAGACGATAAAATATATTATCGTCACAGAAGATTTTTCATCCACAATCAACAGTCCCTTTGAATAATTTGTCATCACAGAACCTTTCTCCAGGTATTCAGCATACTCTATCTGTGAATGGACCTGTCTTGTAGCCATTGATGGTCTACACTCTACAATATAGGGGCTGAAATTCTGGAAACTTTTTAGTTGTCTAGTTTTTAGTTTTGTTGGCAGCATTCGCACTTTCACTATTTTTCTTCTTTTTATGTAGCTTCTCTTGCCATCTTTACTACTCTATTTGTTGTCATTAGGCTTATATGATCGTTCCATTCTACTCTTCTATTTCTTACCCAGTTCTTGATGTTCTCCACCTTGCATCTCCGTCGTACATCTGTACTTCTAGCTCTAGTCACATAGTGCCTTACCATCAATTTTTCTATTGCTTTAGTAAAATTTACCAAGCACATACAGACATATTTCTTATATTCCACTTCTACTTTCTCACTAATTTGTCTGGCTATGAATATAGCATCTGAAGTTGATCTATTTTGTTGATTCCTTTCTTGTTAGCAGAACAATTGGTAATATGTTCACTACAAAATATCGTAGTCACTTAATTTCACTTAACAATAATCTTATCTAGTATAAAGAATTAAATTGATAATATTTACGTTTCAGAGATTGGTTGGAGAGCTCAGTTCAAACCTGCCAACCATCCGGTCTCGCAATACGAGTTCGATGTTATAATAGGTGCCGACGGTAAACGCAATACTTTACAAGGATTCAGCCGTAAGGAATTTAGGGGAAAGCTTGCAATAGCGATAACGGCCAATTTTATCAATAAGAAAACCGAAGCCGAAGCTCGCGTAGAAGAAATTAGCGGCGTAGCTTTTATATTTAACCAAAAGTTTTTTAAGGATTTGCAAGAAGCCACAAGAATTGACTTAGAGAACATAGTTTATTATAAAGACGATACTCATTATTCGTTATGACAGCGAAGAAGCATAGTTTAATCGAGAAAGGAGTCATAAAACAAGTAAGTTACTTTAATTATTGATATTATTTATTTACAACACATTTATTTGAGACTAGACTTATAATAACCAATTTATAATACAGATTGTACTAAATCTAAATTATTTCTCTATTTATATTGAGTCCCGTAAGTCTAGGGTTTCCTCGATTTTGCTAGAAGAATGGGATCCGGTTTTTACATTCGATCATCGCTTCTCGATTCATCGGAACCAGTTTACTTGTTCGCCGTTGACTTTTCGCGAACTCTTGAGAATGATGTGGAAGCCAAACAGGTTAATAACAGCCAACCATCGAATTCTCTTGTCTAGACTAATAGTTTTACCGTTATAGTCAGGAATCAGCAGTGTACCATGCTACCACGCGAAATGCACCATGCGAAATGCTGTCAAGTACTGCGATGCGACTATATTATACCATTGATTATAAACCACTACCTAGATAGCTCACTCTAAGGTAAAAACGAATTCAGTGTTAAACTCCACCCATTTACACCTCTTTGCCCCTCACGACTAAGCACTACCTGACTGTATGGTGGCGACATTCATTGAAATATTTGCCAAGATTGAAAAATAAATTTAAGTTCCATGCTCCGCCAATTCTCTAGTGTAATAGAGGACGATATAAGGATGGCACTCAGCATTTTCACAAATAATTTTAACGTGCTTGTAATCTATATTATGAAATTCCGATTTTACTTCAGAAAAAACGCTAAAAATTGATTAATAAAAACAGTAAAGGTTTTCTAAAAATTATTTATTTATCAACACAATACAAAAAATAACAAAATATAAAATACATAATAAAATTAGCAGTGATAAATTACATCTCATGTAAATTACAACTACATGTTTTTTGTAACTTTTCAAACAAATTAATTTCCAGAATTGATGTTAACTAAAATATTTCAAGCTAAATATACAGAATTTATTTCATTCCATTCACTCACGGTAAAATATTGTAAAACCTCATAATTTTAAAGAATCGCTTGGATTGACATGAAATTTGGCTTACGCCTAACTAAGATGTCAAAAAAAAAATAGATTACGCTTTTGCCCTTTGGATTAGTATCACCCCTTATCGGAGTGAATAAATATATGTTCAAGATAAGTTTGGAAGTGCCTAAAATCAGTAATTCTAAGCAACTTTGGTTCTATAGAGTTTTTTTACTAAGTCAATACTTTTAGAGTTATTGAAAAATAGGTTCTTATTTGTCAAATTCCATGTTGAATATTTCAACGTGAAATAATAAAAAACTAAAGCACTTTTCGACGAAAACTCATTACAACTTTTTTTAAAGTGTTTAAAAAAGGTTTTTTTGTTAAGTTTCTTGCTTAAAGAGTAAGCAAGTTGTGACCAAAATATTCAGAAAAGCAAAACCTACATCTTGCTTACTCTTTGTGATTTTTGGTGTCACTAATAATGTTAAGTTGTTTTGAAAAAAACGCATTTTTTTCAAAATTAAAAAAAAATTGTTAAAAATAAGCCCTTTGAACAAATGAAACTTACAGATCATTGTAATAATACAATAAAAACAATTACCAAGGTATTTATTAGAGAAATCAGGACACGCATTGAAATTGCAAGACAAGCATTTATAACAATGAAAAAAATGTTAGTTAATCGGGATCTTATCTAGTTTTGATGGGAAATAAGCCACAATTTTACTAAAAAAATCATTTTATTAACGTTTCGACGCCCAAATCGGGTGTTGTTGTCAAAATACAAAAACTATTAATGCATTAAACAAAAATATTGTTGCTTAGTAAAAAAAATTCTTCTAATAATTTATTTAATCTGACCCATTTATATTGGCAATTCAGACATATATTATACATTTTAAAGTAGAAGAAGAAGACTTTAAAATGTTATTGGAAATATTTATGAGTTGCGTTTCTGGACTATATTTATATTCTAGCGCGAGAATTTTACTGCCACCATTGCATGTGGTTGTCTATTTAAAGGTTGTCTTATTACATGTTATGATTTTTTTGTGATGGATATTCTTGAGTTAGGATTGATTTCATGTAATCGACTTAACTATCTTTTAACAAAGTCGTCCCAGGAACGCAACTTATAAATATTGACAATATCATTGCCAATATTTCTTTATCTACTTTAAAATGTATAATATTTGTATAATTTTTGTTTAATTTATTAATAATTTTTGTATTTTGACGACACCCGATTTGGGCGTCGAAAGGTTAATAAAATCATTTTTTAGTAAAATTGTGGCTTATTTCCCATCAAAACTAGTTAATTGCAATAATATCACAAGAAAATCGAGATCTTCCTCTAGAGCTGAGGATAAGCGTACATATTTATATCAAAGTGCTATAAAAATGAAGGTTCTTTAGAAGAATTAATATTTTTTAATAAACAAAAGATATAGGTAGAAAAAAAAATCTCTTTTGATTTAATTGTATACAAATATATATAAATCACTCAATATCAAATGATTTTATATAATATATATTTTAATAGTTTTATTCTCATTGACCATTTGCATTACGCAAATATAAAAATATTTCTAAAGTTGAATATTCACCTAAATCAGTTGCTAACTGTGTAAATTTTAGAGGAAGAGCATTTTTCCTTAATAACTTTCTTTGGCCACTTTGGTAAATATGTTCCACTGCAAACTGATGCTGACAAATTACCCTCTGTTTTAGGTCACTGATATCCATCAATATAATATCAATATTCCCGCAGTTTTTTTGCCAAATTTTTGTGCGCTCTACGTCTTTCAGGGGAAATTTAAAGAAAGATATATTATTATTTGTTCCATCGTTTCTTTCAAAACATCCCGCGTAAACACATAGATAATACACTTATAGGGTAAGTTCGGCCCTGACGCCACTCCTATCTCCTCGCAAGTCAGAGAGAGAATGAGAATCTTGATACGGTTTTCGAGTAACGCCATCTAGTTTTTGATACGTCTTTCGGTTACCACGAGGTGAGCTATCTAGGTAGTGGTTTATAATCAATGATTATACCAAGACTATAACTTCCCCGAGTTCACTAGCTCTCTGGGGTATCGCTTAGGCAACACTTTTCAGTAACGATGGTGTTACACATCGGAATTGAATATATAATAGGTCAGTTATGATGTAGCTGTCTGAATTTAATTGGTATACGTCTGTATTGAATATGGTGTACGTCTGTATGTTGATCATGTTCAAGATGTTAAATCAACAAATCTATAATATAAGAGGACACGCCATGTTGGGATGAGAGAGCGTCGCGATGATGACAGTTGTCGATCTTAAACATTTTAATAAGAATAAATATGTAAATAAAATTGTAATAATCTGTATTCATTTGTTATATTTTTTATAGGATTTTGCCGATACCGAAAAGTTATTAGCTCCCGAAAACGTAGACAAAGAAGCCCTACAGCAATACGCAATAGAAGCTGCCACTTTTAGTACTAATTATCAGATGCCCAATTTAGAATTTGCAGTTAATCATTACGGTCAACCGGATATAGCCATGTTCGATTTTACGTCAATGTATGCCGCCGAAAACGCTTCAAAAGTGGTGGAGAGAAACGGTTATCGTTTACTAAAGATATTAGTTGGAGATAGTTTACTTGAGGTAAGTAAATCGTTTGTATTGAAATGTATTGTAACCTTTATTTGTTTCCAGCCGTTTTGGCCCACCGGTTCAGGTTGCGCCCGAGGATTTTTATCTTCTTTGGACGCAGCGTGGGCCATTAGAAGTTGGTCCTTGGGCACTGCGTCACCCCTAGAAGTATTGGCCGAACGTGAATCGATATACAGATTGCTAGCGCAAACTACTCCGGACAATTTGAACAAAGACTGGAAATCTTACACTCTAGATCCAGCCACTAGATACCCTAATTTCAACAAGGCCGTTGTCTTGTCACATCAAGTGGTCGCTCTCTTTGACACCGACAATCCTGCTAGCATCGAGAGAATGAAACGTACCTCTAACGAAAAGGTTCACGATATACCAAAGAAGAGAAGAAGAGGTAAGTTAATCCTATACCGTTAAGATTCTTTTGTTTAAAATATCGGAATATGAAAAATGTGGTTTACTAGTCATGACATTACATGATAATGTGGTATTTAAAAACATTTGCACCTTCTAACCGAAATTTAATAGTTCCACTATTGCTATCTATATCTTAACTTCTATTCTTTGAATATTAGCAGATGTGTAGTGATTATATTCTTCTAGGTTTCTTACGAAAATACTATTTTTACGATTTAGACCTACATCCCGCGAAATATGACACAAGTGTCGATTTACAATTTCAAAATGATCGAACTTAGAAAACGAGTACCTAAAAGAAAATCAAATTTATATAGAGGCGAAAGAAAATCTTAATCTAGGGATTAAGGATTCCCCACACCGACGCGAAACCGTTGCGGAACATTCGCAGGCGGAGCACTATTAAATTCATTATATATAATATATAATGAAAACTTACCATTTTCTCCTAGAAATGACCCTATATTATCCCAGACTTTATCCTTTTTTCTTATATTTTTATAATCTTCGTCACTTAAATCATAAATTATAGGATATTGTTTCACAATTTCAATTAGTTTTTCTGTAACAGCCATTTTAATAATTCACGCGAAACTATAACTTGCTATAACTGCAGCGGAAAAAACCGTGCATGCAGCGTTTCATGAAACGTCAACGCTGTTCTGCCGCGACCGTTCCGGTTTCCGTCCGAACTTGTCTGACCACATGCATTAAGTCGCCGTGCCTTACGATTCGCCGCGATTCCGCTGCGAAAGTTTCGCGTCGGTTTGGGGAATCCTTTAAACTACAATTATTGACTGTAAGGATACTCAGACATATGTAAAATGCCTATAAAAAAAAAAATTAAAATAAAAAAAAAAGATAGTAATAAGTACAACATGACAAAACAAGTAGTACACTGTGATCTATTCTGAACAAGACCAAACCTAAGAGCACACAAGAGAGATCAAGGAACTCCATATATACAATACCCTGTAAATGCAACAATTTTTATGTAGGAGACCACTAAGTGTCAGAATAAATGAGCATGAAACATACATCAGAAACAGAGACTTCGATAGATATGTGATCTATGTATGTGCAAACCTGCCTAGGACAATGAGCACAAAGTGCAATGGACAGATACATCTATAGTCATAAAAAAAGATAGCAAATAGAGGAAAATCTACAACCCAATACAAAATAATATTTAATTTAAATATGCCACAAGAAAACACTTGCGGAATATTTATGAGAAATCTAAGAAACTCCAATAACATTAAAACTAATTTCGAAACACTGCAAATTTTGTATTGTATTTATAGAGCATTTATTATAAGAGGGATGATCAAAAATTAAAGAGCAACTGACAAAAAATTCTCATAGTACAAAAAGTCTGAGTTTAGCCATAAAGGTTAATTGAATAAGCCTCAGCAAGTAGGAATCGGACAATTGAGAACTCGTTTCTGTGACTCAATTAAACCAAAGTTTATCTTTGACAAACCTTACAAAATCGAAACAAGACAGTATAGGGAGACAAACGTGGCAAATGCGTATGGTATATAGACCGATGGCTCCAAAATGGAAGACAACTCAGGATGTGGGATATACTCCAGGTCACTGAACCTAAGAATAAAGCGGAGTATGGGCAAAAATTGCAGTGTAGTTCAGACAAAACTGGCTGGTATCTCCATAGCCGCAAAAGAGATAACCCAAAAGGGTATAGCCGGGAAAACTATAATAATCTGCACAGATAGCAGACAAGCGCTACTAACCTGAATAGACCACGGGTCATATCAGGGTTAGTAATGGAATGTCACGAGTCACTAACTTAAGCTTCGGATGGTAATACCATAATCCTTAGGTGAGTTAAAGGACACAATAGGAATAAAAGCAACCGCATTGCTGACCAATTGGCTAGGAAGGCAGCAGGCCTAAGACTCTTAGGACCTGGGGATACTTAGGACACTCCCATACGCAAACCGTGAAAAGGTGGGAAGAACGGCAAGGATGTAGACTTGTAAGTATAACACTAAGTATCCTTGAAAAGTCAGCATCAAAGAAATACTTGGGAATGACCAGGAAAAACCTACGCTTGACAGTTGGTTTTTTAACTGGTCATTGCTAACTAAGCAAACACCTCCACCCACTGGGGCTAGTAGACACACCTCTATGCAGGAAGTATGAACGAGAAGACGAAACTGTAGAGTATGTGAATGCCCTGTCCAGGATAGACAATGAGCTTAGGACGACAGCTCCCTGGGAGGATGCAATACACAATGGATCAATTCTGGCTTAAGTACTGTGGAACTTAACTCGCCCTGTCTACTTTACAGATACAGATACCTGTTATAGCAGTGTTGCCGCTACTAGAAAAATGTCGCAAAACCTGGGCATGATGAAAAGACAATTCCATATTAAAATAATTTGTTTCATTTGATAGAAAGTTGTCATTATTAAAAACAATATATTAATCAGTGAAGAGGATGATCTGATTTTGGTAATATATGAATATTTTTAGAGGTTAATCTCTCAAGTGTCAATCCAATCAAATAAGACTAGAGTGGTTGAGGAGCTTTGCTATCTTTGATTCTATAAGTGCACTTAACAGAAAAATTATCGGGACTGTTCTTTTATTAATTTTCTTAAGACTTACGGATAACCAAATCACGCCCAGTAATTTTCATAATTTTTACACCTTTTTTACTTGATCTGTATAAGGTGTCTCATTAAGAATAAAATATAGAATATTTGAAGACTTTCCACTTTAAAATAAAACGTTTAACAAACAGTTATTTTGTAAAATGTTGCTTTTTTCCTAAATACAAGCTACTATTGAAAATTAGAGCAATAATATTCGCCATATTTGTTTTATTGTTGTGTATAATTTTTCTGATTTTGGTAAATGTTTTTTGTGCCATAAGAAACATAAGTCAACAAAATTTGTTGATATTACTTCGTTAGTGACGTACCAGCATGGTTAAGCAACCCATTCTTTCCTCTAATCGTTACACCACTGAAGGCACACTAATAAAAATATACTATAGTAATGCTAGAAATGCAGAACATGGCATCAACTCTATATTTCTGCCCTTTCCCCATGGGCATATCACTTTAACCGCAGTTACGTCTGAGATGCAAAACTGCGCCATGGGGAAGACTTTGATTTTTCTGGAACATATATTGTTGTTCTCCGTTGTTGATTGCTTGGTAAACTGAAAATTTGACCGTTTAGACTGCTAGATCAGTTATTTTGGTCGTAATTATCCAAGGTTCTTGGATTAGTGCTATTGCATCCTCCGTTACATCCAGGTGCCGACATGATGTCGCCGTTGCCACCTTTTTGTGTTGGAGGTTGCATTGACGTCTTATTATTTTTGACTTATTTTTTCCGACGTCCTTTCCCATGGCTTAAGGTGTCGTTCCGGTTCTTTTAGGTGTCCATTTTGTCCTAGATTGAAGAGGGGCAGAGTTCGTCGACCATCTCCTGCTGTGGGACAAGGGGTGTCTTAGTCTCAGCAACCGTCGTCGGCTGCCTGAGGTTCATGGTTCCGAGGAGGTGTCCTTCACTTTGTTGGTGTTTGCTTTTAGAGTCAATGAGGTGAACGTGTAGCTCAGCCTCATTGTCCTTTTCCTAAGGACAGCCATGTCATCGTCTCTGATTCCGAAGACAAACAGATGTCCTTTAGGATCCTTTTTTACCTCATTACGGGAGGTGCACCATCTCGCAACTGCCATGTCTGGATTTTGCGCCGTTAACCTCCGCAGCACTTTTTCTGGGCCATCAGAGGTGCTAGTAGCATCCTCCGGGATCCATTGAGAGGCTTTTGGTAAGTTTTGGTAGCTGATCCTGACTGATAACAGCCAGTGATGCTTCCTCCCACGGTTTGAGATCAGCTGTAGCCTTTTCCAGCCATGCAAGCGCCCCATCGTCATCACAGACTAGTCTGATGATCTCACCTGAGTAATTCCACGATTTGAACGTGGGTGCTTTTACCTGGACGCTGGAGGTGGACAAGATTGCCCTGTGAAATTCCCATACGGGTTTACCTTATCTATAATAGCGACCTTAAGATATCTTAAGGCGGCTTCCGCGAAGCTTTGGAAATACGCAGCTGTGTTTCCTGCGTTCACTGCGTGACTTCTTATGCTTCCTCGGAGGTATTTGTGTGAAGGCGCTTTACACCGGGGGCTGTTGGTCCCTGTTCTCTTTTGGAGGTGGAACTGTTGTCAGCTTCCGCTGTTGGCACCTTCACATTTGTTTTGGGAGGGACTGGAGAGAGATGAGCTGCTCCCGCGGGTGCTTTTCCTCATCACCTCTCTGGCCTTCCTCCTTCTCTTTGCCTCCGTGCCGCAAATTCTGCGGTATTTTGGCCGATTTTCGTGAGATGTTCCTTGTTCATCTTCCGCTTAGGCCGAAATTTGAGGTGAACATTGTTGTTCATCCTTAGCTCCGGCTTTAGGCTGAGGTGAACGTTTTGGTCCAGCCTCTGGTTGGACCGAGATTAAAGGTGAATATTGCTGTTATGCCGTTTTTTCTTTTTTTTTTCTCGTTGGACGCCACAATTAAACATTATACTGAGTAATATCAAATAAGGTCAATAATATTTTTAATTTTCAACTTTAGCCACTTATATTTCGGAAAAAACAACCTTTTGTGTTAAAAAGCCTTATTTTGCATCAGAAAATCATCAATTACACTATGTTTCATTCTCAATGGGAAGTGCAATATGTTGGAATTGTAGAATTTAAGAGAATAATTTAGGATATCGACAAGTTTTATATTTTCAGGCGCTTGGTGGACTAGACTGTTAGTTTTTAGCAAACAAGGACGAGCCTATCGCAGAGTTGCTCGATGGGCTGGTCAAGCTCGCGAAAGAGTATTTCCTAGAAATAAATAAAACGTGTCAAACGTTTAAGATATCGTTAAATCATGGAAACAATGGAAATGATAATTTGTTAGAAAACGAAAATTGGCTCTGCGAATGACCGGTATTT